AGAAAGAGCCACCTAATTATGGAAGAGAATTTTAGGACAATTTTAGTGGTGGTAGGTGATGGAGGTTGTTGGTGGTCGATGAAAGATGGTAGAGGAGAGGAAAGGCGATTTTCTAGAGGGGAATGTTTTTAATGATTTGTATAAATACCAATATTTTTTTTAAAACATCGATACTGAGTTACAGTAAAATTTTAGATAAATATCCATAACACACCATCCAAAAAAACCCATATATTTTTTGGGAATATAAGTTAAAATATCATAATGCTAACATAAAGGAAATTTATTCAGCCATATTTATAGTTTTTAACATTATTTGTTAATAATATGGAAATCTAGGTACTTACACTTATTTTATCACTTGATACAAGATTAAAAATGCATGAATGATCTAAAGAAATTTATATAATATTTGAAAAACTAAACTGTCAAAACATTATGTTATTCTATAAAATATAGACATATATCACAAAATTCTAGTTTCTATATAATATTCTAGGAAACCCTATGTCTCTCAGGAGATCTCGCTCAAGCTTGCAGTTTTGAGTTGTAAATGCATGCACAAGTGGTCCTAATAGATTTAATTGCTAAATTAGTCTCAAATATTATCTTATCTTATGAATCTATGAAATCTAGCTATTTCTTTTGGAGCTTTTTCTGGACAGGTGAATTAGGTACTCTTATCATATTTTTTTCTTCAGAGTAAGCGTTTTTATTTGATATGAGTTAATAGCGTACTGCATTGTTATGTTTGCATTTTATTGCTCAAATTCAGTATTTGATTCTTTGCTATTGAGTTTTAAGCAACTTTTTCTTTATAATTTCTACATTTAGTTTAGGTTTCCTGATTCAAACTTTACGTTTTTAATATTTTTTTTAAGTATATATAAATAAACAAAGAAAGTAATGCAATTTTCCCTAGCATAAAACACAAACCCAAATAATCAAAATTTGGTCCAAGGACTTCATTAATCATTCTCTAGGCTTCTATACAAATCATTATGTATTATTCTTTAGCAACAATTCCTCCAAAATCAACATTGTCCGGTAGCAACACGAAATGATCTGGATTCGTATTCAATGCCAGTAGGCACCACAATAACCCCAACTCCATGGTTCCCATTGCCATCAACTAAATGATAAAAAATTCATTGTGCAGCAAACATAATAAGAGAAATTTCAATTCTATATTGTATATGAGCAAGAAAATGTCCGAGCAAATCCTAGAGATTTCTCGCAATTGGAAGACTCCAAAGACCACAGTTGCGTGGGATATCCTACATTAACATTTACAATAATGACTTACTATGGATTTGTCAGTTTATACACACCTCTATTATAAAATCTTGAATATCAATCACTTTGTCCAATTTGTGAAACAATCAAATTCCAATGACATTATTTTAGATAGAAAGAGAAAGGCAGAGTCTTGACAAAGAAAACCTCCCTGTTAATACCATTCGGATGCATAAACAAGTATATCTAAAATGGTTAATAATAAACAAAATTCAAACATCTTACTTAACAAGATATGTAAAATTTCTTTTCTGAAATTGATTCAGAGGAATCCCTTCTTCTTTTGAGCACCTAAATCAAGAGATTGTCATATATGCAAGTCAAGTATACAAGATAACAGGAAATTCTTAACTCATAGAGGATATACTAATCAAAGGTTTTATAAATCAAAATATTTTAGGATTTCGTTGAATATACTCTGGCTTATCCAATATCAAGGCTTTGTCATTAGCAAAACCCGATGATCAAAGTAGTGTAATCCAAGTTTCAAGTTTGTATCTTTTGGCAGCTAAGGGGAAGAAACAACTCCAACATATTCTTCATCGGCAGTTTCAAGCAACTAAGATGGTGCATCTCTTCTTTAGGATTGGTCGACGAAGAACAAGAAATCTGAAAAAAGTAACTAAATGACAAAGCACATCAAAATAAAGATAAGCTCCAATCCCAAATCCATATTCCTTCCCTCACCATAGAAGGATACAAAAGACAAGGCAAGAGAATGAAGAAGGGTGTGACTGAAAATTCAGTGAGCAACTTCTTTCGAGTAAAAATTCAAACAAAGACTATAGAAAAAGACAACTACACAAAAGGTGGATTCTATAATCTTCTAAAAACATGACGCAAAAGCCTTAGTTGTTTTCTTTTAAATGCTAAAGTATTTAGTCCTTTAGCTGTTGGTAATGAATTTAACTAGAGTGAACGAAAGGATTCTACATTACCATGAATGCATAACCACAAAGTTAGCAAACCACTAATACTATTAGCAAGAAAGCTAACCAATGAGGAAATAAAATAAATAAATCCAAGTTAATATACAGGGAGATAATGTGGCTTGTTGAAAAATAAAGGTAAATTACTAATAATCCCCTTGTGATTTATCTTTACCACATAACCCCTCGAGCATTTCAAAATATTCATTTCTCCCCCTATAGTTTCTATAAATTAGAAATTTAACAAAAAAAAACTTATGCAACGTCATTACTTGAAATACCAGTAGTGCTCTTATTTAAATGCTAAATCAAAGGACAACTTAACCACCTTGTATAAAACTATATAGGCATTATGTGGATAAATATAAATATTATGGGAGTTAAAATGGATATTTATACAAATTATAGGAGGCTTAAGTGGATATTATAATTTTTCACGTACACTTTTAAAGCTCATATGGTCTTAATGCCATAATTGATTATACATTCCATTCATTTTCCACTTTACATAAAAGTACAGGGAGTTATGTGTCCATTTTAAAACTTTAATGGGATCATTTGATGTTATGCAAAACCATAGGGGGTTATATGTAATTTTTCCAAAAATAAACAACTATTGTCACTCCATCCGGCACATACAAGTAAATGGAGAGACACGAAATCCTACCTCCAATCAAATACATGAAGAAAACAAACTTCCAAGATTCAATTTTGGCAAAGGTAGTTGGTTTTGTATGAAACAAAATTGGTAATTCCCCTAATAGTTTGACTGCCTACTCATGGCAGTAATACTATCTTACGTTTTGCTTGCTTCATAGCCTAAACCCAGAACATTATCAACAGTAGGTTGAAGTTTTCTTCGCCAGCCTATAAATCATTCAATTAACTTCCAATGAGGTAATTTCTGCCTCCTTTCAAGGAATGACATCACTTTTCCAGAAGAATTCCCTTCTCCCCAAATGATGGATTCATTTGCATAATATTTTCCCATTCACCAATGAATCATTCTCGCAGGCCTTTTTGTCGTGTAATCGACTTGGATAAATGGTCTCTTTTCTAGAAGAATTCCCATTTCTCCAAACGATCGATTTGTTTGCTTAATATCTCTCATTCGCCCGTGAATCATTCTTGCAGGCCTTTTTGACGTGGAATTGACTTGGATAAATGGCCTCGACAAAATTCTTGTGTCTTGCAGGTCTGTACATGCGGAAGGGATGCCAGCCTAACGAAGGGAATTAAAAGTCTGTCTAAATGAAAGGGAGACCGAAGTCTGACTGTAGTTTCGACGAAGCTAGAGCATCTACTATAGAATTTATTTCCCGATAGATATGAGCCAAAACCACCAACTCTATCAATAGCGACTGTATATGCCCGGCAATGTTACATATGGGCCAACTTGAAGAACGCTTGGAAGAAACCACACTAACCAAAACACTAGAGTCCACCTCAACCACAAAGCCCTTAATATTTCTTTCTTGACAAATAAGTAAACCCACCAACAACTACAAAGCCTCCAGATAACATTTTGTTCCCCAAACTCTTTATAAAACGGAAAAAACAAATTACCCTACGCCGACCAAACTAAACCGCCACAAAAAGTTCCCTCCATTGACATGCTAGCATCCGTATTCAGTTCGAAGGAGTTCATCCAAGGCTTCACCCAAGCTACGATGTGAGGCTGAACCAATCTCCTCTTGAGCTTAACATTCTTTCCCAAACACAATCTGTATCACCTCTAAAGAATTGCTGCTTCAACAGCTTGCCTGCTCCCAACTGATCAACAAAGTTACAAACCTAGAAGATTATATGCTCAGACGACATGGTCGAGCCCTAAAAGCATGCTTGATTTCTTGATCTCCAAATAAACCACAATACCAGCAGAGGAATAATTACACGAATATGATTCCATGCCACAAAATAATCAGAGAAAAACCAAGAAGCAAGTTTAGGAGAAACCCTACTACACTGGTCCGAGATCCCAAAAAGATAAGCAAAATATCGCCACACATCAGACGCCACTTTGCTATTGTAAAAATGGTTCAGAACTACTTGTAGGTCCAGTAAATGAAATTAGCTTGTACAATAACTTAGTGTGTTTGTCCTTGACAGTTTCAGGTTGGATATGCATGAATTTGCATTTGATGACAGTTTATAGTCTTTATGCTTTTTGGAATTGGGCGCGACATCTTTGTTGTCTATTTGAACTCTTGATGCTAGATCTTGATGTCCCTTATTTAACTGTGTTTGGTGTGAGAACCCTCATTTTTAAAATACAATTTCCCCAAACTACATGCCTTGCACCAAGATTTAAACCACCTCTTATATGCCCTAGCATTATATTTTACAATGTGTTACAACAAATCCCTTGTAATGACCCTTACTTTAAAACACAATTTTCTTATTTACATGCCTTATTATAAGATCTAAACCATTTAATATATGCCCTTACAATATATTTCCTATGTATTATAATAATTTCCATGCATTACATTTCAATTCATTTTACTTGAAGTAAAATTTTTTCTTGAGCTAGGTTGTAAATAATTCACCACTTGTAATTGTCCAAGTGATCTTTTATTAGTGGTTGGAACTTTACATGTAGGATTAGAGGTGTTAAATATGTATTGGTACATTTGGAAAGGTTAGTATGTCATTAGTCAAAGATTAAGAAAGGATTGGACAAGGATGGAGCCAAGTGGCAAAACCCTAGCCATGGATCTTGTTTGACCAAGGGATTAGAAAGAATTTAAACCAAAATTGGCCCTTTTATTTCCTCCTTGTGGCCGACTTTCATGAAGCTTAGAGAGGAAGAGAGAAACTCCATTTTCCTTGCTTTCTAACCCTAGTAAATCAAGAGCAAAAATCAAAAGAGAAAGATCTTGAGTGGGTTGAGAAACTTTCCTTTCATTCCTAGTGGTTGATCCAAGCTTGAAGCTTCCATCTTGGTGGATAGTTTGGTGACCTAAGCAACTTGTAAGAGAGGTAAATGACCTTTAAATTTGGGGGTTATGATGTTATATCATCTACTTTAACTTTTCATGGTGAAATACAAGTTGTTTTGGTTGAGATTTGGGGTTAATCCCTTGAATTAAACAAGTAGTAGTTAAGCTTGTTAGTATGCCTACCAAGTGTTTGATGAAATGCCTAGCCCTTGTTCATGTGTGTGTATGAGGTATTAACATGTTTTGAACCCCTTTTTAGTAGATCTAATACTTGGTATGTGATTTAAATGGAAATTATGAAAGGTTGAAAGTTAGAAAAGTTGGGGAGGTGCTGTCCGAAAATTTCAAGGGCTTGCTGCCCTGTTTTGCTTTGATAATTTCGTGCTTAATTTGGCTACAAGTGTGAGGGATATATGTTGGGTTATGTGTGTGGAGGTTGTCTACAAAAAATTAGCCAATTTGGTTGGATAAATCTTGAGTTATTATCAAAGAGGCAAAACTGGACTAGGTCCAGGAATTTTCTGACCAGTGATCTTGTGAAGGTCATAACGTTTTACTCAATGATCGGAATTTAGTGTCGTTTGTGGCATTTGAAAGTAGACTCTTAGAGCTTTAATATGGTACCAGGCTCATTTTCTGGTTCGTTCCGAGCGATTCGTGGCGAGTCTTGAAAGTTGGCCGCCCGGTTGTTACTGTTCATCCGAGACTGTCCAGGAAATTCATTTGGATGCTTAATTTTGAACCACTTACGTTTGGATTTTGGAAATGGTTTCTTCCACACAAATATATCTTTGTGAACATAGTTTCTAACGGCACTGATGGAACCTAATTCCGACTTTTCTACAGTGAATTATAACTGTTTTTCCGAGACTGCCGGGCAAGACTGATTAATCCGAATAAGGAACCTTCAAGTCTAAATGAAACATTTCTTTTGCCGAGCTTTCATGTACACACTAAACTTATTTTCTCATGAACTTTTACCATGTTATAGACCTTATTGCATGCCGAATTAAGTAGCCCAGACTACCCACTCGGTTTCTTAATGAACCTATACTTTAGTAAGGAACGAATCTAATTGTTAATGATTTCACTCATTGACCTAGGTTTGGGAAATGAAGGTGATCGTAACTGAGACGTTTGACGTTGATTACTACTTTTGCTTGACAGGTGAGTGTTCCACTACCTGCTACCTATTATCTGAATATTTGAAATACTTGATTTATGACTGTTGGAGCCAATACTGTTTTGATAAAATGGAGGCGAGCGTGTACTTTATCGCACTCGACCTCACTTGTTTTCCAATGAGGCTCTGTATACTGTTATTATGAGATGTGATTTCTCTATATATGACCGTGTTTAAGTTGTTTGGGTGATATCCCATCAACTACTGCTACTGTTTGGGTACCCAACCTCTTAGGTGAGTCGGTTGTATCGAGCCAGCAAGGGCTTGGCCGAGAAAGCCGATAAACCTTGGGGACTGATGTTTGGAGGTCCCTGGTGAAGTATAGCCATTGTGCTTGCTTGTTGTGTTGCCCAGCACCACCAGTGGTAAAATCCTCGACTTGATCCTGTTTCTTTGGAATCTTGAATTCCTGGTATACTCGAGTATTACCAAACTACTGTTATGGAATGCGGGCCCGGTAGGGGGTTGTTTGGTGGACGGAGACTGGTGAAAGTGGTGTTCTACGGACCCTTTTATACTGTGCATACAAGTATTGACGGAGTGTCAATAGGAGGCAATTATGATCAAGCTCAAGTGGATCTTGGCTTTTGAAAGCCACCTGTATCCTTGAATTGAACTATGATTAAACTGTTATTCTACTGTACGGTGTTTATTTGATTATTTTGTGACCTTATGTGACTATATGTTTACTTGTTTTACTTGGAATCTCACTGGGTTTTAGCTCACCCCATTCCCTTTGTTTTCCTTAACAGATCGGGGATGGATTGATCAAGAGCTTTCTTAGCTTTATTTTGTTTTGAACTTGTATTTTGAGATTGTAACCTTTTGTTTAAGGAGACCTTACTTTTGACTTCCGTAAGCTTGAATCTATAAGTTCGACTTATGTTATGTAAGTTTATGTGTGGAGTGATAAGTTGACATTTAATTATATGTATGCTAAACTTTTAGATTGTTGGTGTAGTGTTTATGTTTAATTGGGGTTACACTCCCGTGAATGGAAGATATCTCATCCACTTCATTTGAGTTATTATCACTTTGATCGTCTGAGTCCCGGCGCGAGTTGGGCAGGCAGTCCGCTGATACCCTAGGGTTCGCCCTAGGGAGAGGTGGGGCTGTCACATTTGGAATAATAATGTTGATTGATCTGAACCTTGGGTATGTGATGATAGATAAGTATTTGATTTGTTTTAGGATAAATTATATATAACTCCCCTATGGTTTCACCTATTATTATATAACTTCCCTAACGTTTAAAAATATCCACTTCGCTCCCTATGGTTTCATATACAGTGAAAACTTGAGAGAAAATAGTGTCTATGACGTTGTTAATTGAAATATGAGTAGTACCCTTACTTAAATACTAAATAGAAAAATGACATAACCATCTTGCATAAAACCATAAGGAGATTAAGTAGAAAAATACAAAAATTTACAAGAGGGACAAAGTGAATAATCCGGTAAATTATAGGAAGTTAAATTGATAGTATGATTCTTAGCACATTTGATTCAATTGCCTTAACCTATGGTGCATTACGTCCATTTTTCACTTCACATGAAACTATAGGAGCATATTTAGATATTTTAAAACCTTAGGGGATCATCTAACGTTATATAAAACCACAAAAGGTTATATGTAGTTTACCCTTAGTTTTACTAAGTGGTTAGGGATTTGATAGCAAAATTTGTTTCATTTGTATCAGGTTGTCAGGGATGTCAATAGGTTGGATCCAAACTAGAATTACCAAGGTCCATATTCGGATCCACCCCGAATAGGTCTAAATATATAGTTCCAAACCTAAAACTATAATTTTAATGAATATACAGAAAATCTTTTTTCTTTTTCTAAAAAAATTTAGTAACAAATTTTAATAAATATATAATTCTTTTATTTAAAATATTTATGCTAATTGGATTAGGGTTCAAAATGGGTCAGAACATGTAAATTTATATTCGATCCATTTACCTTATAGATCAAACAGATCTAGGTAAATGGAACTGCTATCTATTCCGGATTTGAAAAAATGGACTAGCTCCTGGTCAGGTGAAATACCGGTCCCAAATATTATAAGACCAAAACTACTATACTCTACCAAACAAACTTGAATATATTTTTCTTGTTATTAATAGCTGAAATTGACAATGCGGGTTCTGAAGGAAGTTTATTAGGGGCTAAAAATGGGGTATTTGAATATGTGAAACAGCGTGGAAGACATGTGATTGAGTTTATCTGGAAAAATCCTAAAGAGACGAAGGAGAGTCCAAAAAATATTAGAGAGATTCTTTTTCAGGATCCTGATAAGGATTTTTTTGTAAGGTAAACTTTCTGAAATTGTTTTCTTTTTTAGATTCAGTAGCAATTTGTTGGTGACTTGCATGTGCTGATGTGCTGGAATACTTTTTAATCAAAACTTTCTTAATAAGTTTCACGTTGTAGCTTATGATTGAGCCCAACTAAAAGTTAAGGGAGTAATATGAAGATTCCACATTGTTTGCCTGGGATGGGGGTAGGGCAACAGATGAATGGGTTTGACCTTATAAGATCTATCATGGTGTCAGCCAAAATTGGGAAAATTTAATGAACTGAAGCTATGATAAAGGAAATAACAGCTAACTCGAACATCAAAGGAATAGCCCAGTGTTTAATATTCCTTGTCTATAGAGCCTTGTTGCCAAGCTAGCTCACCTATAAGCAATCCATAGCTAAGCCCTTGAGATAACACAATCGTTGTGAGGCAATATATCAAACACTTGGTTTATAGCATTTTCCTCTTGATAGTCCCTTGCTGATGTTTCATGTTGGTTCTCCTCTAAAAATTCCAGTGGAGTCCTTTGAGACAATTCATCAAACATGTGGCTGACTACACTTTCATCCTTTAAGTTAATGATTATTTCCTTATGTTCAGCCTCCATAACCTCATTTTCTTTCATAAGCTGCTCTCCTTTCGGTAAATCAAGAGCAGAATCATGGTCCTTTACAACTAATGGTTCTTTTCCCTCTCTTCTACTTGAAACCCATCATTTGCAAATATTCTCACTGCCAAAGAAACCTGGTTTCCTTGTTCAATTTCACTAGAATTTCTTTCGAGCAATTCATCAAGCACCTGCATGGCATGTTCGTTTGGTGGATTATTGATAGATAAAATAGTTCCCTTACCCATGAATTCAATCCTATTTGAAGCTATTTTCCGGTGTTCCTCATCATCAATGGCTTGTACAACCTCTCTACCCCCATTCACACATCCATACTCCCTACTAATACCATCTTTACCACCATGCTTCTCCATTACGGCTTCTTTGATTTTTGCTCGGAGATATACTTCATACAAAATCTTAGGTGGATTCCTAATTCCCTTTAGCTTTATCTAGATATTCCAATCAAGCCCAAAGCTAAAACCATCAATAAAGTGATCCCCACTAAGTTCTGGTTTCAAAGCCAACATCTCATTTCTCCACTCTTCAAATTTCTCATAGTACTCGACTACGTTAGTTGTTTGTTAGGCTTCTTATGCTCCACCAGAAAGTAATTCAGCATTTCAAAGATTTCTTCAAGGGTCTCCATATTGCTTTTTTTTTAATATAAATATAGGTTGATCAGAAAGACATGAAGTCGGATAGGGAAGAAGGTCAATCATAACTGAAGGAAAAATTAGGAAGAAAGATTTCTAACCAATTAGCCAAACCCAGACGGATCTTTGCTGCTCTGATACCACTATCATGGTGTCGAGCTAAAACTGGAAAAATTTAATGAACTAAAGCTATGAAAAAGGAAATAACAACTAACTCGAAGATCAAAAGAATAGCTCAGTGTTATTAATAACTCATGTAAACGTCAATATAGATTTAGAAACAGTGGAGATGGTAAGAAGGTGAAGAGAAGGAAGGAAACTTGGGGAAGGAGATATCAGAAAAGGAGTAATCTTCCCAAATCTTCTGGTGTAGGGAATAATCAACAACCTAACTATTACAAAAGCAAAGTCAGCTATATATTGCTAGTGAGCTAACTAACTAACATCTAAAAAGACTACTGCAGCTATATTCACGTTTGTTGAACTGGCTCCTAGTGAAAGCATGCTTCCAAATTCCCGCCTCTGTCCATGCCACTTCTTTCCATTTCCACGCTTTTCCTTGATAACACCACACCTTTAGCTCCGCTCCCATATTTTTAGTCTCACTCCATGACAAGATCTCAAGCCAAGGATCCTCAAAAAGACAGAAACTATGAAGTCTATCCTTCTTGATTCACAACCTAATTAGACTGGTTATTTCCTTACTAATCAGACTGTATAGTATATAAGATCTCAACTTAAACATAATGAATATTATGATGAATGCAATAGTTGAGCTACATGCTACATCGATCTCTTTGGAGTCTCTGCTTTTCTAATTTACTTTTCATAGAGAAGATGTTAAAGCTATTAGCTTTGTAGTCTCTTGAGCTGGCTAGATGATACTTGGACCTTATATAATGATTCAATTGTTTTATATTGGTAGGGTTCATGTTTTGCCTAGAGATCATAAAAGGAACTTAGAGGAGCTCTGCAAGATTAAGTTTGATCCCCAGAGGGAGGGCATGCATGGTATAATAAAAAAAATTTTACCACTAATTTTATTTTATTTTTTGTTTCATTTACAGGATTGTAGGTGCAAGGTTGCACATAATGGCACAGGACATTGCATTATCCAGTACTTTGAGTATTGGCGTCAAGTGGATCATGAGGTCCATTTTTTTTAATTGTTTACAATTTGATCTTTTTTGAATTTTCTTTTGACTAATTACATTTTTTCTTTGTTATTTAGGTTTCAAGGAGGCTATTCCAGCTGTTGAAGTAGATTTTGAGTTCCAGCTTTTTTTAATTAGCTTTTTATGAATTACTTTTTTTAATTGGATATCTTAACTACTATAAAGTGGGAGTTTGCAATTAAGAAAAGATTGGATTTGATTGAGGTGCCCCAATTATTCAGGCTTTGGTTAGACCATTTCTTTGCTGGCAATGTAGCAATTTGGATTCAGAGTTGTGGGCTGTTCTAATATTTGATCGTATTGGTTAAGTTTGAAATGAGTTATGGAAAAGAGAAATGTATAAAATTTTGAAAGGACACTTAGATAGGAGGAAATCACCTTTTAAGAATTCAAAAAGAGCCATCTAATTATGGAAGAGAATTTGAGTGCAAAATAATTATGGAATGAGATTTTTCAAAATTGACGGGAGAGGCAAATAAGTTGCAAAATTAAATATATCGTAAAATATCAAGCGTATTTTACCATTTTAAAAACTTAGTGGCAATTGCCTAGGCTCAACCTTAAGACTAAATAGTTTCACCCCTACTAGTAATCAAAATATTAGAATTGTCAAACACATTAATAATACAAAACAATAGCAACTATTAAAGAAACAAGCAAAAATCGTAGGTAAATTGCATGTATACCACTTTATTTGTTTTGAAACTATAGCCCCCCTTTGAATGGGCAACTTTTTGTCTATTTTAGGAAACTTAAGTTTGTTTAAAATACCAATTACAGTGAACTTTAAAATACTAGCAAGTTTAGAAAAATATAAAAAGAAAAGTAAATTAAATACTAGTGGTGGTAGGTGATGGAGGTTGTTGGCAGTCGATGAAGGATAGTAGTTGAGGGGAAAGGTGGCTTTCTAGAGGAGAATGTTTTTAATGATTTTGATAAATACCAACATATTTTTAAGACATCTATACTAAGTTACAGTAAAATTTTATACAAATATCCAAACACATCATCGAAAAGAAGCCATATATTTTTTGAGAATGTAAGTTAAAAATCATAATGTTCATAAAGGAAATTTGCCTAGCCATATTTATAGTCTTAACATTATTTGTTAATAATATGAAAATCTAGGTACTTACACTTATTTGATCACTTGATAGAAGATTAAAAAGGCATGAATGATCTAAAGAAATTTATATAATATTTGAAAAACTAAACTGTCAAAACATTCTGTTATTCGATAAAATATAGACATAT